AAAAGAACTTAGTCACTATCACATTTTTTAAAGATCAGTTGTCAAAGCAAATCTACAAAAACTAGGACACCAAGAAGTGTTTCTTCCTTTTCAACATTATTTTCTATTCATGACAATATGAAAATGATTGAAATTTATAGCTGACCAATTATTATTGCTTTCAACTCATGATAAATTTTCTTTATATACAGGTATGTGATTTCATGGTTGGATCTTGAGTACTTGTCATGGCTCTTGATTTATTTTGGAGTGTTCACCATCAGATTAGACCACCAGGCATAGTTGAAAGGAAATGTCCATACACAGTCTTGGAGTACATAGTGGTAGAGACATGGCAGTCCATTACAGATTTTGACTGAATTAAAGCTTCTTAAAGCTCCATGTCTTGTGTAAACTGTCTGACTGAATGTTTGTATTCTAATAAAAACTAAGGTTGAAGACACTTCAAAGATATATGTCAGTGTAAAAATGTTAAACAAAATATCTGTCTTTATTAGAAATAAATAACCTGTCTTTATTAGAAATAAATAACCTGTCATTTGTAACTTTGTATTAACTTAATTATTCAAAGATAATTTATCTTCTGCAAATGGCTGCCCAAAACAGTTTCAACCAGGCATCATGTAGTTTCAAAACAGTTAAGATAAATTTGTTATAAATAGACTTGTAAATTAACAGGAATGGTAAAAAGATAAATGTTCAGCATTAAAATGTTTCTATCTTGATTGAGTTTCATTTCATATTATCACCATGATCACTGCAATTGTAAAAGTAATGTAATCTTTAACCATTATTTAAATATCATAAAAATCATCTCAAAGAAAAACTTGTTTCTGAGGCAAGATGTGTAAAATTCCTTCCAGTTATAGCCTTTCACTGCTCTTAGAAAAGCCATGATTTGCATTGTACATGGCAGGTAGTAATACCAGAGTAAACAATATTAATGCAATTCATCTGTGTTGAGTATTCTGTAGCAAAACACTAGCTTGCTAGCCCTTGTAAGCCCAAGTCTCTCTCTTAATTGGAGAAGACTTGCAATTCTGCATTCCTTGAAGATTTTAGTATCAGAGGGGTAGTTATTACATACCATATACTTCTTTGGGTTTCAAATTACCTGTTTTATAATGTATTGAACCTGTTGACATTTGACCAAAAGTGAATTATCTATACAATACATGCAAAACTTAGGGTTTGCACTTGATACAAAACAATTACATCACTGATACATTAATATACCCATTGGAACTGTTTCAAAATTGTCAATGTTTCAAAAAAAACACCACACAATGCTTTTAACTTCTGTCCATGTACATATGTGTAAATGTAGTCATTGAAGAGCTGTCAAGAACTTTTCATCAATATTATTTAGATAGTGTCTGTTTCGATTTCAGGACAGACAAAATTCAAATGACATGCATAGTATTTAATATAGTCAATGCTTGCATATTCAAGCAATCTAGCCATTGCTGTTAGAGAATTAAAGTACACAGTGACACTTATTTTGCAGATGAACTCTTATGATCAAGCACTGCTATAAATATATGCCAAATAGTAGAAACAAAAAACAGTTCATAAGTTTAATAAACTTTTATTTTTACACAATTTATAGTGCACTGCTTAGCATATATATCACACTGATTTTCCAGTGGAAGAAAAACTTCAGGAAAGCACTTGGAATTATTATTAGTTATTTGGACAATGTAACTTTACACTGTGAATGTCTACTGATACAAGAATAAGAATATTTCCTTTTACAAATGTAAAGACTTTGAAAATTAACATGAACAAATTATCATAGAGTTATAAATCATATTCTAATTGAAAAATGTTCAGCTTGATATCAAAGCTTTGATTGCAAATTTGTGAGCTTATCAATGATTACCTCACAATATTAGTAGTAGATGATATATAATATTTTTGCTAATCTTTACTTCATAGTCATTTAATGTCCATAATGTCATATGACTATACTGTGATTCCATGAAAAAACCTTATCTCTGGTGTGTTATCAGCTTTGGTATATATAGAGTATCTAGTTTTAATACTTAAAACTGCAATGAAATGTGGATATTTTACTCTGTTTCTATCATTGTGAAATTAACATGTTAACAAGATCATAGTGTCAAACACCATAAAATCATACTCTTTATACATTAAGATTTTTGTGCTGGGTGTCATTCATCTTCTTCAGGAAAGTACATTTGACTATTCTCAATGGCTTATATTAAACTAATATTTCACTGTAACTGTGTGTTCTCTGATATCATTCTCAAATTAAGGAACTGGAAGATTGTAGTTGCAATAAAGGTCTTCATGGACAAACCCTCCTTCATCTTTTCCCTTTTTATCTGCAGAATGAAAAATCAATAAATATGTTGTTACAAGTGTAAGACACTAGAAATGATATTTACATTACATTAAATAAGCTGGTCATGATTGACAGAAAAATTTCATATTTGAAGTAAATAAACATTAAAGATAAACAACAACACATAATATATAACAGTCAAAAATATTGATCTTCTTGAATGTGAAACATGACTATTTTTAATGTTTTATTTACTTATCAATTATCATGCAGTGAAATCCAAAAGTTATTAAATTATAATACTATATTTTGATAATTGTTTATCTTTCCGATCTCAACTAAAAATTAATCAATTATTTTACATGTATTTACCTTTGATGTATAGATATTTCAGGATCATAGGCAGTGCAAACAGTTGATTAATGGTCCATATTGAACAACTGTATATTCTATACTTGTCATATACCTCCTTGTCTATACATCTGAAATGGTTTAATCAAATATTATATTTTTTAATTCAATCATAATTTGCTAGGTACCATATTAACATGTATATATAATTGAAAAAGGAACAAGAATAAAATGGAAGGGAAAAAATATCCGAATTACTGTGCAATGTCCGAATTTTGTATAACTTTAATATACACTAGAATTAAAGTGTTTCTCCATTGTTTATTTCAATAAGTTAAAATGGTTTGAATTAATTTCTCACATCAGTAGTTTTAAAACAATACTAAAAGCTAAACAACTAGAATTCACTACCTTGACAAAACATCCGAAACAATTGTCACTATCCGAAAATAAACTAGTTTTATTAAACTCTATAAATCCCTCGTTTTTCCGTCAGATAATTGACCTACCTGCATTTTTTGACCCGTGCTATCCATTCCTTCAAATCTGAAGAGGACCGAAACAAATTTAACTTCTATATCCCTCGAGTTCTTCGGGTTACCTATATGCGTAACGGTAAATAAGTCTGCCGATGTACCCGGAAGTGGTAAATCGAAAGTGAAAGTAAACGAGACTTACGGGCCCTATTCTCAAAGCTTGACATTAAGAAAAGGGGCATAACTCTTTAAAAAGTTTAACTCTGAGTTATGTGCCCCAGTGATCACCATGTTAAATAATCAAAGAGAATAAGTTTGTGAAGTTTTAACCTATTTCCATCAGGTTGTTATAAAGAATACTCATTTGCTCAAAGTAACTTAACCAAAGTGTTATTGCGTCTGCAACGCATACATGTACACCAATAAGGACGCCATGGCGAGTACAATAGCTCTTCCTTTTCTTTGAATATGGGAGCTAAAAATTGAAAAAAAAACACAAAAACATGACACTATGGAGGATGTCTCATTTTACTGAATGTATTGAGAGTATGATAACAAAGAGAGAGTGAAAAAATAAAACATGATGGACATTATTTATGTTTTTAGTTATAACAACATTAGCTCTAAATGTAAACAGGACATTACTGGTGGAGGAATACCTCAGGTGTACCTACATGCATTATTTTGGGTATGGCAAGCACCTGAACCAGTAAAGGTCTGTAAGCTAGCTGGATTACACAAATGAAAAAAAATATCATCACATCACATTATATCAAAAGAGATTTCTTTTTAATTCTTAACCTAGCATTCCTAAAATAATTTCAGAGACAGAGTGTGATGATGGACAATCCTGGATTAAACTAAATAAAGTATAATCCCTAAAAAATTAAATATGTCACAAATCATCATTTCAACACATCCAATAAAATGAGACCATAACATTCGCATACAAACAACTAAATGAACACATAAACATACACATCCATATAAAACATCAATATTATAGTTACAGTAAGTTATCACATGTGCATGTACTTAAAAATATACCTCCTACATATACACACTTTGTTGTCTTTTATAAATGTATCAAGCATTTTTACAGAACGCCAATACTGTATGTAGGTATATAGACAACAATGAAAACAACAAATCCTTATTACAATGGCTTGAACTGTTTTAATAAACATTTAAATCTCTGTTTGACTACTACCTCTGTATACGTATGTGATGCCATTATTTGCTTATCAACCAAACAGATTGCACAGAAAAATATGTAACTGTTTTAACCCTAATCATGGACTATTGTATAATTGTCAATTAAGATAAATTAAAGTATTGCCCTAATTAAGCCAAATAACAGACTTTTGCCCATCTTTTCCCACTTGACAAATTCATTTTATCCTTTTTATGGAAAGTTACAAAGTCTGTACAGACTGAATATTTGACAGTGCAAGCCATGATCAGATGTCATATATTGTCACCTTAATGAAGTAATGGATTAAGTTCTTCTAAATTAAATAGGAGTTAAACAGTAATTGTACTAGCCAGCTTATTTTGATATGGACTAGTTTCATGGGTAAAGTATGCTGCTGGCAGCTGTCCAAGCATTGAACTATGTGTCTAATGTATTACTTTACTTTTATTGTGGAAGTTTTTCATATTTTTTTACATTATGGATTCCCATTACACAATTTATCAATTAGTATTATCAAAGTAAAATGTATGCAAGCTAAATATGGTACTGAGTCAGAATTACATGATAAAACAAAATCAGGGATCTACTTTAAAACTTAAAGGAAAGCCACTTGAGATAAGAATGTCAAAAATAAATATTAAGAGCTTAAGAAGGCAGTCTGAAGGACAGCTAAATCCCCTTTCGCAGTGAACATGAATATGTACCTCTTAACATTTTACCAACCATGACCTTGATGTTGTGTCATGCATATCATAAGCACATTGTCTCACGATGAAGATTATTTGTGCCAAATTATTTAAAATCTTCCATAAAGTCAAAAAGTTATGGAGAACATATAACCTTGACCATGGGTGTAGCAACCTGGATGATGAGCTCTGCAGATTGTGTCATGGTGGGGATCATTTGTGCCAAGTAATTTTAAAACGTTTGAATTGTCACTAAGTTATAAAGCAAAATTTGATAAAAAGAGAACATCTAAAGTGTGTAAGTTCATGCTTAATTTATTGAATGAGTTGAATAAAGTTATATTACGCGAGCCTCTGGCGAGCAAAATATTATTTTATTCAATGTATTCAATAATATCAGTAATGAAACTGCATCGATACAATATTCTATTTATCACATACCCAAAACACACACTGTTTAAAGTGAAAAATACGCATTTATATTCATTGAGACACCTATTGTGTAATGCTAACATACACTGTGTTTGTATAACACAAATGACGTCACACCAGGCCACGCAATACCATTTTACAAGTCCAAAATTCGGCACAGGTATGTGATAAAACTTAATTTTTTATAACATATTTGTATCTCTTTACTAACCAAGGTCTGTTCTGGTACATTATTATTTGATTTATTATTTAAGCAATTAATGTGGTATATCAGAGCCTTTTGTTCTCTTAAAGGAAGTCCACTATGGTCCCAAAGCCTACATATGAATTTCTTTCATAGCATAACTGGGGTACTTAAAACAGAAAGATATGCAAATGACAAGAAATATACTAAGAAATTAAATGAAGATTATATATTAATGCTATGTTTTGCCCTATTTGAATGAAAAACATTGCAACACTTTTCAATTATTGGTCATTTTTCATTAGTAAAATAATTTTTTTGAAAAAATCAAGTGTGGGAGCCTGAAGTTTTTAATTATTGATCTAGACCTTCGGGAAATACAACATTATTTCTCCAAAAATTATTTTCAGTCCTGTCACGTAATGGCCTAAATGGAGAGTCTCTTTGTTCAACAATGAAGAGTTACAATTCGAAATATCTTTAATGATTCAACAAGATATGACTTTAAGCAATTATTGCTGGTATCTAGAATACATGTGAAGTAAGCCAAATCCATCATGTAGGGGAGCTCTATTTTCACTTATTATCTGATACAACTAAACTGGAATTCTCAAGCAATAAAGCCTGTTATTCTAATGAGTTGCACATGTATACATTGTTCATCACAACAGACAGCCTTGTTCTACTTATCCTGCAATATTCAGCATTATCTTGTGCTCAAAGCCAGGACACAACAACACTGAATTAGTTATATATCAATTGCATCATCTAAGATTTTTTTCTTGAATTCCTATATAAAAATCACTTATTTTTTCAAATTCTTAATGATTTGTTTACATATGTTCACAATAATTGCTGTCGGAATACAGGTTGTTGGTACATATGTCCTTAAATGGGCTGGGGACCACAGTCACTTGAACTGGGTACCATGTTTTGAGAATTCATTGATCCTATTGCTTGTATGCGACGGAACTACGTTCACATTATATGTAGAAATACTCTGTTGTGGTGGAACTACATTTTGCTGTGGATGTGGTTGTTGGGGTTGTGATTGGACTGCGTTATAAACAGTCTGCTGACCTGGTAAATTTTGTACACTGAAAATAAATAAAGGTCAAATTAGAATCTACAATTCATTATGTCAAAAGAGGGTTTGTCTGCAATACAATACATTAATGGCAAGTTTCTTGGAAAAACTATCAGCCGTCAACCTGCAATTCCTGCAACAATTTCACAAGAAAATATATTTGATCATATAGAGTTGTCCTCAACTATTCTATTAAGTCTTAGCCCCTCTATGTAAATTATATAATGTAACATACAGAAACATGAGAAATATTCACAAATATTTGTATCAATTTCAAACATTGTTTCCTGTCTTTCCTGACTCCTTGTCAGCTGATATTTTTTAACAAGTCTAACCTTTGCTAAACCTTGCTACAAATTATTATCCGATGAACCATTTAAACTAGATTAAGACAACAAACATGGACAAGACAACAAATTTGTTACTGCATTTGATTCTGTATATCTACTAATAAGTTTTCACCTCTAAAAAATAACTTAACTTTCGTAACTGACAAATATATCAGTTGAAAGTTCTGAGGCATACATACTTAAATGACATTAAAGTTTTCCTATTATAAGGCACAGTTACAGAAGTTTATGTATCAAAATAGTCAAATTGCATCACAAACAGAGAATAGAAGTTATAATAATGAGTTAATGACTAATTACTACCTATTTATTTTAGTTTTGACTACAGGCTGTTGTGTATGTCTGAGGTTGACCTTGACCTGGAATCATCTGACCTTGAGACATTTGTCCCATCTGTGCTATAGGGCCAATCTGACCTTGTACCATTAGACCTTGACCTTGGGTCATTTGTAGCATTTGACTCATTGCTGCTGATATATTATAAACCTTTACATACCTTTAATATTAACTGTATGTTTCACATGCACAATGTCATATGAATAAAATCAGTAAAATTGTTTTACATGACCTAGCCAATGTGAATTACATTAAAAACATTGATCAGAGATCCAACAACCAATCCATACTTGATCTTCTGACGTTTATTCCCTTTGTATATATACAATAAAGTAGGTATAAAACAATATTAACACCAACCTGTGGCATAGATCCAGGGGACATCGCCATGCTTGAAGCAGGGTTATATCCCGACATAGACTGTTTGTAAGCATATGGCATCGGTGTCTCCTTCATTAAGTTATGGTACATCTGCAACGCTTCTAACACCTTGGTGTTAATTCCACATAACTCAGCATGTCTCCTGCAAATTATTTAAAGGAATAAAATTAAAGAATAGTCTTTAAATTAAAAGGACGTCTCCTGAAACAAGTGTTTAAGGTTAAGGACTTCAAATTACCTGCCTCTCATCATCATTTGTTCGAACCCTGTCAAAGACTTTCACCTTAGAAAATTACCCAACAAGTACAAAAAGGGTCAGTGGTTCACAAGCCTAAAATAATGCAAGAAAGGGCATCTGAGATATTTCTCCATCAATAAAGCTAGAAAGTCCCCATTTAAGTTTAAGTTAAACATTGTTGCTGTAACTTGAAACACAGAGAAACAGTATTGCTTCTTGTACTTTAAATATATTTGAGTTGACAGAACAAGAAAATTATTGTCCCAGTAACGGCTAGGCAGGGATATTTGAATTCTGGATTTTCTTAAACTCATGGTTAATGGCTTAATGCCCTGTCATGCAGAGACTATAAGACGATTATTATAGCTAATTCCCCATGCAATGAGTGATTAATATATATTTAGATGCCAAAACAAAACTATCAAACTTCCATGGCAATACTGATATAAACACACAAGGTAAGATCCCTACTCAGTTGCCCAACTATCATCTGTTGCACTGCCCAAAGCATGGGAACACCAATGTTAGAATTGACTTGTAGTATATTAAATACAATATAAAGACATACTTATCAATCTTTTCCAGTTCTGCATCTATAAGTGGACCCATTGCTTTACATTGTTCTAGAAAACAAAACAAAGTTGAAAGAGTATTTCCTTCATACTGGATGGCACAAATCCAACTGAGCTTGGATGCTGATAAAAACCTTAACATGTTCAACAATTTAAATAAGGTCCTTTAAATCTCTAGGCAGAATTAATACTTACATGAAAGGCCAATTATGCCTCAGAAATGCTATCAATCTTATTTCTCAAAAACTTTTACGAGGGTTGTCCCAAAATGTCGTAGACTATATTATTTTCTCTTCAACCTGACGTCATAACTTAATAAAATTTACCAGATATCTTTCTTGGTCATTTGTTAATTTACCTACTTAAAATCAATAGCCAAAATATATGGTAACGCTTTTTATCAGGGTTTTATATTTAACAGTACAACATACCCGGGGCACGATAAAATATTAGTCAGTGTTGAGAGCATGCTTCTTAAAATAATGCCTTTAACTTCTAGCATAATAATAATTATGTGAAATACATTCATGTGGAATTACGTCATTCATTTTTACGTCATATCATCAACAGACGTTTATGTAACGTTAATTTGAAAAAAGTATGTACTAGCATAATACGTAACAGAAGTGCTATTTTGAAAATGCCCAAAATGGCGAAGTCAGATGAAAATGCGGCGCAACGCAATGCCATTGAATACTGTGTTAAGTTGAAGAAGCGTCCAACGTTAATTGACAACATGGAGAACATTATATTTTATCAAGATAATGCACCTTGCCATAGATCTCAGAAGACACAGATTAAACTTGATGTGATAGGTTTTCAGAGACTTCTTTGACTGAAATAATGACGCCCTAAGACTTTGCACTGTTTCCTTATTAGAAATCACAATATCGAGGTCACAGGTTAGAAAACTTCAGCGAACTCCGCCAGGAAACTCAACTCTGCGAGTGTTGAGTACATTGAAGCAGGACTGTTTTGAAAACGTTTATGATAAATGGGTCGCCCAACACTGATAGTGCAACTCGAAACACGGTGAATACTTTGAAAAACATTTTTAAAAATCTTATAACGTCATGACGTTTATGACGGCGTGCGCCGGGTATGTATAGGTAGCATTCTTTAAATTTTGATAACTTGGTCAATTTTGGAGGTATTTTGATTTTATTTCGCATAGACACACATAAAAGGTGTATTGACTTTTCCGAAGCTGGAGGTTTCTATTGTATTATAATTGATTGAGTAACAGACTTTGTCTACGATATTTTGGTCTCTTGTTACAGATTCCACAAGAAAACTCATAAGCTATAGTCATGAACTTTGAAATTGAAATTTTACTAAATACTAAAAGAGTCATCATTTATATTTCACGAGTAAGTAAGTAAGTAGGTATGTAGGTATGTAGGTAAGCAGGCAGGCAGGCAGGCAGGCAGGCAGACAGGCAAGCAAGTAAGTAAGTAATTTAGTAAGTAAGTAATTTAGTAACGACTTTATTTAATGAGGCAACACAGTTGGGCAAGCCCAGTCTTCCCTGTGAGCCTTAACAATGTACAAAACAATTTATAAAATACAATACATCAATAAGAGATAAAATAATGACACAAGTTGAGTTCATTATTATACATTCAACATTGAAATATGTGAGATCAACCTTAAACAAAATAACAAGAAAAAAAAGACATGAGTTAATAATATATACATACATTCAACATTGAATTAGATGTTATCAAAAGTGAAAATTAACATATATATAAAACATACATATTTAAACCAATATAAATCGGACAAAAGGCATAATCGATCATCGAAAATAATCGAACAACCCTTTTTTTGATCAATCATCGATTATATAATCGAAGAATTGACAATAACAAAGTGAATATGTACAATGTACATATCATGCTTTAATATTTAAAGAATTCCATTAATATTCTATTTTTTGTAATTACCATTTTATCTACTGAAATTAACTAGTTAAAAGATATACCATGCTCATCCTTGAGTAAAATATTTTAATCAAATAAATTCATTAAAATCTATGAAATTATCATGTCTCAATTCGGATAAAGGAATGAACTATGCATGGGAATGCGTACCCTATTACAGGGACAAGTAAAGTTGGTCCTTTCTTAACAAAACAAATGATACTATATATTGATATTGTGACCACCTAAAGTGTGTAGAATAAGTTTATACATAACATATTTTCTTTGTGTGAAGTCAAAACATGTTTATTTTATATTTACAAAGAGACTGTGTGGCAATTGTTAAAATTTTCTAATGTCAAATTTCAGCATAGTATATCTTTAAACTAGAATGTCTCACTGTTAACTATTAACTCCATGGTCCCCAGTAATAAACAGTATGCTAGCCTTTATGATTTGAATGAAAATTATTGTGTCAACCGAAGCTGGCTTTAATTTATAGAGTGTTGTTATAATACAGTGAGTTGCTTAAAAAATAAAATACCGATAATTGATTATTAAACTTATAATCGAGCATCACAAAATTGTCATATAAACGATCAATTTTGGATTATACTCGATTATCGTTTAATCCCTAATAAAAACTAATATTTACATAGCATCTAAGCAGAGGTTTCCACCAGAGTACCACCATGTTAAGTATGTTTTTTAGAATTGTGCAAGACTGTTTGATTGACTGATACGTAATGGTAAATTGTTCCAGATTTTAGGCCCAGTGTATGCAATAGCTTTTCTGCAAAATTCTAATCTAGGTTTGGGTATATGTAGTGTCTGTTGAATGTGTGATCTTAGAGTTGTGTGATTTGTATGTGAAAATAAATCAGACATATAATGTGGCAATCGATTGTTAAGGGATTTGTAAACAAGAATTGCCTTTTTACAATGTATGCGGTCATGTATTTTTAACCAATTCAATTCATGAAACAATATATCTGAGGGTGTGTAAATGTCTTTGTCAAGTATAATGAAATTTGTATATGGTGTTCAGTAATTCATCATTACAATTTCCCCAAATAGTGCAGTGGCAATATGTATGCATTATAAAAAAACTATTCTCATCTGTTTGTTTAGGTACTGTTTAATACGAATTAGAAGATACAGTAAAGAATTGCATTTTTTAATCAGCTGTTCAATTTGACAGTTCCATGATAATCTATGCTCCACATGAATTCCTAGTAATTTTTCAGAGTTAGTAAATTCAATGTCATTTTCCTGCATTTTCAAAATGTAGTCATTGTTTGATTGCTTGTCACTTCTTTTTATCACTTAAGTACTATGTCAAATAAAATCGAATCATTTTTTGTTACCAACACCATGTGTATATCTTCCTGCAGCAGTGTAATATCATTTATATTTCACAGACAAGTACAGAATCAATAAATTCTGGTCATATACATTTCCATGATGAAATACATTTATTATTTCACTAAGAAGTATATCAATAGCTTCAAAAAGTAACTTTTCCATAGTAATAGATCTAGTCAAATATCACATATACTTCAAAATTTAAAAAAAAACAACAATTTATCAAATCAATACCTTCCAACTGTAACATTTCCATGGTGTCCGGTCGTGTTTCTCCAGTGGGGTCAGCACTCTGTATCTGCTGCAGCATTTCATCTATCTTTGACTGAAATAATGACAATTTTTCTTTCAAGATGGATTATGAAATTAATAATTGTATGTAAAGTTACAAGTTATGATATTAACATTTTTGATGAACTTAGAAATATGCTCTCTTATAATAACAAACTGTGATCGAAAATCAATCAGTCTGAGAATAATAATGCTTGTTTGTTTTGTTTTGTTTTAAGGAATATTACGCTGAAAAACAGGAAAGGTGATTTTGGCTAACCTCAGGTGTTACAAACTAAAACAACACTAGAGGTCAAAACCACCTTATCTGCTAGAGCTAAGAGAATCCAGTAATTTGAACCAATTTTGTCACCTCTTATGATAACGCATGGATATACAGTTGGTGTAATTCTGATTTTTCAACCCTGAAAGGCAGCATCTCAGCCACAAGGGGAAAACTTGATTTTCGTTTTTACCATAATAAATTGTCAAAATGACTGAGCTATGGTATCTCTATTTTTACAATTCAATTTGCAGCTGTTCTGGGGCCTCAATCATGTCAATCGTCTTTACTTGAACTTCTTCACTAAACTCTACCTTCCGTTTTGCTATACAAATATATAGAATAAATACATGTAATAAGATTAACATTTAAGCTAGAATATTATGACTTTGCTTACATCATAATATCCGGTATTCTTCAAGTCCAATATCATATTGGCCATTAGTTCAGATAGAACATAAGATATTTCCAACTTGCCGGTTTAGGTTAACCATTATTCATTTTGTAAGTGATGAAAAGGGCCATAACTTGGTGCAAATGGAAACCATAATTCTGTAACTTGCCCAGATCATATACTTTGTATGGATTAGTAAGTGTGTAAATTATGAAGCCATTGGTACAGGTAGAACTTAAGAAAAATCCAACTTGCCGTTCTAGGTTAACCTCGTACGGACGTTCCAACATTTTGGGTTTAGGGGCTATTTTCTTTGTTATTTTCTTTGTTTTCTTAAGGGCTACTAAACCCTTTGATCACGGAATGAACCTATTGTTCTCTTTTGTTCTCTTTACTGTTATATAGCCCCTTAACCCAAAATGTTTGCTCGGACAGACAGACGGACGGACGGTTCAATTACTATATGCCCGGGGGCATAAAAAATGTTTACCAAATTTCGGGGAAAGCAATAATACACTGCAAGGACATTTTATAAAATATTGCCGTATTTTGCCAATGTTTTCATTTTTGAATATTTAACTTATTCTCACAAACTATAATATACTATGAATTATCGCATGATTTGGAACTTTTCCTTTGTTCTTATAACCCATTATACTCAGTACACTTCAATGAGCATTTCAAAACTGTATTGATATATAACAATACAGTTTTTTCATTGATTCATATAGGAAAAAACTCGACTGTTATATATCGGTCGAGTTTTTTTCGCACCTTGTATATATCAATACAGTTTTTTCATAGAGGCTCCAATGGGGCAGTGGTAACGACCATTCCCAGTAGCAAAAAAAAAAATAAAATGAAATCAATAAAATAAAATAAATATATAAATACAATGAAAAATATAAACAAAGATAATTAATGAAATGAAATTTACTCTCATTTAATCAAAAGGTACATCCGCTGAATGAATTATTTCCACTGAAAAAAGCCCTTTAATCTTGAATCAATCTTGGTAACAGTATACAATCCGCCTCTAATATTGGATGTCTTTTGTATATTTTTTTGCGGCAGCGAAAACAACTTGAAAAAACTGCCTTATCATAAATAACTGTAATGTAGCTAACGATTAATTTATTTATTGTTTCTATACAAAAAAATGGAAACATTATGCCATTGCGATAAAACAGTTATAGTATATGAAACTCGTTAGTTACGGGGGTATAACACTGGCTGGGGCGACATCTCGGGATGTTTCTGCAAAAAAAATTGTCTCGGCCTCACGGCCTCGCCATTTTTTAGCAGAAACACCCCTTGATGTCGCCCCAGCCAGTGTTATACCCTCGTAACTAATTCGTTTCATATACTATAACTATTACGTATTTTGCCTTAATATTATAATCTGCTGAATATTAATCATTTAGTTGGAAAATAAGCATGTAACATTATAAAATAGAAATAAGTTATCATAACGTTAATGTAGTGCGAAATTTTAAAGGAGCCCATTTGCATGTCAATGTCTTTAAATAACAATTATTATACTCTTTTAAAGCAGCAGGCCTCCAGATTCATGCTAACTTTTATGAAAATTTGAAAATGTGTTTAAATGTAGTGTTTAGTGAAATAACCAAACGGAAGCAATATGCAAATTATCTATGGCACTTACAGCCCACGTAAATTATGAAAAAGAGGACAAAATATGCAAAAATTGCCCTTACTGCGTTAGTAACGCAGTAGAAATATAATTATAAATACTGAAAATTCAGTCATTAGTCGTATAAAAAACATGTAAATTATTACTTAAATCTTGAATATTTTTACTTTTCCTAAAATCTTAGTACATTTTTCTCAAATTTGCTTTTATTGAAATATTTTCGCTCATCTGGAGGCATTCAGTTTTAAAATCATATATATAAATAAACACAAAACATACACAATGTAGTATATAAAACATATAAAACAGTATGTTAGTAAGTTCAACTTGATAAAATCAGAAGTATGATTAAAGTTATGCTATCAAATAATAACAATGTTATAATATTGTTAATATATTCTGGAAAATAAAGTGATAAACAGAGACAAGCAAAATAAACTATAAAAAAGGTAACTTAAAAATGCCTCATATCATTGAGTTCTAAGCTATCACGATGTCTTTATATAAATCTGTGAAGCACAAAACTGTTAACTTTAGTTGTCAAAAACCTGTTAGTTGTCATTCATTGAATGATTCTTGCAAATTCGAAAGCAGATCTGCCCATGGGTTTCATTTGCGGTACTTGTAAAATACATTGGAAAAATAATTATCCTGAAAGTTCACTTTCAAATGCATTTGCTAAGAAATCAAAAACAGACCAGATAAAAGATGGATTTTAAACCAACACATCAAAAATTACATTGTAACATTAACATAATCATTTTGTCTATAAAAAAAGGTTTATGTATCTGTAAATTCAAATAATAAAAAATCTAAAAATTATCAGATGCAAACTTTGTCTGTTTTTACAAGAGTAAAATTGAATATAAACAAGAGGGTAACGCTCAACGCTGGTACTTCATTGAAGTACGAGGGGCATATTTATACGACTATATATTCAAAAAGTGTCGGCTTACGTCAGTTACCAGTTACTTTCCACGTGGATTTAATACAACTGAAATATATCCTGCTTGGGCCAGTTAAAGGAGCTATTTTTTTCTTAAGTCTTGCCCCGCCTTTCTGTATTTTATAGATATAGAAGCAAGATTTTACCATAGGAACTCGAGAACGGGACCCATATTACGGCGCATATTTTCGATCGTGTTACGGTTTTTAAAAACGATTCTGCTACATCTAAATATCTTATAGTATTATCCGAGTATATGGCCTCAAAAAAGATATTATCAGTTGAACCCATTATGTAACTTTTAAAACTGGTCAAATTTTACGGTATTATAAAAATATACTGTAAATTTGACTGATTTTTAAATTAGCAGATTATATTAAATTGAGATTATATAATTAAAGACCACCCACTCGCATAATATAAAAAGATATTCAAAGGTCGGACAAACAATATGTAAAGCCAGTACGGATTCGGATTTATGCGTCGCAATATGCGGTCCTGTTCCAGAGTTCCTATGGATTTAACATTATCGCAAGAAAATTTTCGCGCCATTCAACGACATTTAACGTTGAATTTGTCTCATGCTCAAACTTTCTCATACTTTAATCATCTCGTGCGAACCAAAATGTAAAAGTTTTCGCGACGAATAACCTCATGTCTCTTTCGAGAACTGTAACTCATTTACAGTACCAGTGTCTATAGTATAAGTTCTTCGAAAAAGAATGTTAAATCTCGCTATTTATCTATTAAGAAGAGCCAGTGCGCTCGACTATTCTAAGTGCTTGATAATAAACCAAGAGCCTGAATAATATAGATATTTTCTAAGTTCAAAGGGGCCATAGTTCTGTCAAAATTCACAATTACAATAACTCTCCCAATTTTACGAATAGTCGAGCGTAAACAAGAGATTTAGTCAATCTTAAATTGTAAACTGCCTCAAACAGGACACCATAGAAACCTTAAGAAAGTTTTAGCGAACTTGATAGCGCAACTTATGAGTAAATTCAGTTTTGTCGAGAAATGAAATTCAATAAATTTGATGGCCATTTTCAGGAACATAGTTACTGTTGATTTTAGCATTGACGTAACTAACAGTTGTTCGTTGTATGATGATAAAACGTTATATTTTTTGTATATCGTTTGACATACTATAAAAAAACAACATCAACAGGACCTTTACTTGTCCCAGGCCCCCATCCACAAAAATCATCGGTCATATACAGCTGAACATTGCAATCTAAGCATGTGAATAAGGAAACTTACCAGATTTGGGGTCCAAAACGTTATCCATATAACATTGACGTAAACATGTTCAGAGACGGTTTCAATGCTGAATGATATAAATGATCTCTCAGTTCGAGGCAGCCATTTTAACATTGTTTATCATGACTGTCCGATTGAAATAAGTGCACGAAAATTCCGTGCGAATACAATTTTCCTACACCTTTCACTGCTCACAGCTTTAAGGCCATGCAAATATTTTTTTTTATAGTTTTATATATTCAACATGAACATATATTTAATTTCAATTAGATCTATTTATAATTAAATGTGTTCATTAATTTATCTGTTTTAAACTTAAACGTTGTATAAGTCAGATACAGTTACTCGTATTTTCTTCAAAAGTGTCTTCTTACAGACGTAAAGAAGACAGTTGGCTAGGACAAACAACAATTTACAACGGCTTCGCCTCGGACAATTTGTTGTTTATCCTAGCAAACTGTCTTTTTACGTCTGTAAGAATACACTTTTGAAGAAAATATCCTGACCTGTC